ATAAAAATTCTAAACAACATAGGAATAAACAACTAGGAATTCTTTTTGACTATTTACCTTATTCTGAATATTTTGTTCATTTTCGTACGTGGTCAAATAATTTTCATCGGTAGTGTGTCTATTTATTTTATATTCGATTATTATAATTATTATTAATAAATTCTTACGCAACTTAATACTTATACATTAGGTTTGCCTGGAAAGTATTATTGCCGACATTGAATAAAATTTATGTATATTAGATTGCGCGTTATGAAATTTCATACCAATTTTGAAGAAAATTATTAGAAATATAAATCGCGAATATACATATGTATAAATAAATTGATATGAATTTTCCGAACATTTTAATACATACATACGATAATGAGTTTCTTTTCGTTGTAGAAACGTTAATTCGAGATTTAATCGATTCCTTTCTGGTTATTAAAAATTGTGATTATTCTTTCCGACGACAAGAAGATCTTTTTATTTTGACATAGGTATAATTTGAGATGTTCAAAGATAAGCGAAAAGAATGTTATTTTCGTTAAAGTCGGAAACAAGGTGAGAAGAGTATCTTGACTCTAGTTATTCAAATTACCATGAATTGACTCAAGTTTCTGTACGATCGTAATGCAACACAACCACCACGAGTAAAACGTTTACGATCGTTGGAATTTAATGTCCCGTCCGTGAGAATTATTAATCGGCGAATGTACTGTTTCTTTTTTTTCTTCTTCTTCTTGTTTTTTTTTTTTTTTTCTACCGGTAAAAGCCGTAAATTGTTTCACGTGAATGCTAGAATCTTCTCGTACGTATCCTACATATACATATATATATATATATATACATATACGTTCACACCCACATGTAGAAAGAAAGAAAAAGTAAGTGAAAATTTATATAAATGAGGGTCTACGAACGGGCCTGAGTCATGTGGATATTTTCAACGAAAATTCAACGATTGGCTACCGTGAGACGACGTCTCGTTATGTTACAAGCAAATTATGAACTATCTAACTGCCCTCTCAACGTTAAAATGCGATTAATTATATTCGCGAGAAAAAAGAAAGATTTGAAGATGACGATAAAAATTAGAGATTGAAATACGGACCGTTTATTTTGAAAGTGGGTGGAAGTTCATTTCTTTGATTATTGTTTCGAGAAAATTAAAAAATGGTAAGCATATTTAGTCAATTCGAAAATATAAATTAATTATGTCGAGTCTGGCAATGTTTACTATTAACTTATCAATATATAATTTCATTATATAAATTTATTTTTTAGGCAAATTTGATTAAAATAATATATATTTACGGGTTGTAAATGGGCTTACAAAAAAAAAAACAGTCAATATGACGGATGAAATCAATGTTTTTTATTTTTTATTTTTTGTATGAAAAAAGCTCGATGACCTCTCTTTCTCTTTCTTTCCTTTGGTTGACGAGAATAACAAGAGAATGTTATTTTAAGAGATCCATCGACCTCGAAGTATCAAAATTTTCTGTCGAACCTTTCTCTCTCGTGTTTGGTCGATCCTCGAAATTTCTCATCGAAGCCCACGCGTTCATCTCACCGAGAACGAATGAACGAACGAATCGTGGAATCAAATGGGGAAGAATAATAATAAGACACATAGCAAACGGCAATATAACGCGAATCGAGAAAAACAAAATAGGATGAGGTACACGAAGAAACGTAAAGAATCTATCTATACGTATATCAATGACCTCGATTCTCCCTACATTGACCTTGACGTGGTAATAGACCATAAATCTCTATCTTTATGAAGTCATTTTTTTCGGGTATGAATGAAACGAGAAAGCACACGCGTATTCGTTCTTTCCTCCTTTTTGTTATTTCGATATCGTTTCATGAATTTCTCCGCATCATCAATACATTAACATATTTATGAGTAAAGCTACGTAGTAGTCTTAGCTTGAAATTTGCATCCTACGGGGAAGAGGAGAGAAGAATTTTTAAATACTTTACTTTACTTTACTTTGCTAAAGTTACGGAAGGCCGATCGAACGTCACAGGAAATACTACGACATGTTTTTTTTTTCTTTTCTTGGTAATAACCTTGTTGGTTGGTAATCGAAGGATTGTAGAAGAGTGTTTGAGGTTACTGAAAATGCTACACGGCTACGAAACGTACGACCATCGTTTGCATAACGAAGTGTCACTATAGTGGGGCTTGTATGCTATATGAAAAAAAATCAGCTCGATATTTATTTTATCGAGTACATTCGTTTATGATGACTTTGTCATACATTCAGTCCTAATTATCGCGTATCTTCTCTTTTCTCTTAATTATCTTATTAGTATATTGGCACATTTTTCAAACGTCTCTTGGTGGTGTATTGGGAATAAAGAGTGTTAAATTGGAATTCTCGTTGTCTTGTGAAAACTTGTTCGCCTTTATTGATCATTATCATCTTTAAACGTTTAATAATTTTGAAAATGTCATTTCGAACTTATTATCGTTCATTTGATATTTATGATAATAATACGAATTATACGATAACAGTTTATATTAATACAAATCAAATGGAAAAATTAAGGAACCTGATGAAAAAAAAAAAAAAATTAAATAAAATTATCAATTGAAATCATAAGAAGTGTGAATAAAATCCTTTTACGTTTTATTCGACGATTGATTAGATTTTCTTTTATTTTCGAAATCAATAGTTTCCCAGTGTTTTTTTTTTTTAATATGTACGTGTCTATATAATTATACCAGCAGAGATTAGTAACACAACAATTTTGAACTTCATTTCATAATATAAATAATTTCAATATAAAATATATCATAAAATTAATTATTGGTCGTAATTATCGATACATATATGTATTAATACGTACACATACGTAAATACGAAAATTAAAATCGTTCGTAAGTAGAATGAAAAGTATTCGCTGAGAGGTCTAAAAAAGTGTTTTTCGCGTTTCTCGCAAATAAACAAGGTAGATGTTATAAATTGGTAGAAAACGAGGCAAAATGTTGAAAGAAATTTTGTGATTTCACGCAAGCTCGATATTTCTCTCGATACTTCGCGATGGTTGGTTGGTTGTTGTTCGATTTTAAGATTGAAGAAAAATGGGGGATGATCGAATCTTCGAGAAAGACGCGAATATTTCTTTTGTTCGGTTTAACCCGTAAAAGGCAATTCCAATTTGTTTTCCGCTCGATTATCGCGAATCGTTGTCCCGCGAGAAAGATCTGACTCTGATCGTAATTAAGTTTCTTTTCTTTCTTTTCTCTTTATTTATTTCTTTCTTTCTTTCTTTTCTTCTTTTTTTTTTTCTTTTTTTTATAGAGAGAGTAACGAACATACGATTCTTCCTGAAACGACCGAGCTTGTTCGGTGAGGATAACAAGATCGTACAGTTTTTAGTTCGATTTAAAGTTTCTCTTTTCCCTTCCGAAAACAACCTCTATCTCTCCAATTAATACGCTTTTATTTTCCTTTGTACAAGTATACTCGACATAAATTGCTGCTGTCTTCCTTTTAGTCCCATTATTACCAGGGTTACCAGTAAATATGAGATTTTGTTCTTTTAATTCTCTGTAGTTCCGTTTGATTTCGACCCGATATTTGTACCGATTATTATAAAAGTAAACGAAGTTAAAAAATTGAAAAATAAAACATTAATTTTATCATATAAATAATTTTAATATCAAATATATAACGTAAGATCAAATTTTGCCAGTTTTCTTTTTGTTTGATTTCGTTTACAACATTTAGAAAATGATTTCTATTTAATATGCTGCGTAATTATATTTTGTTCTATAAATTTTTTTCTTCAATAAACAATAAGATTCTTTTTAATATGATCATTGATTCTAGCTGGAAATATCAGAATAATTTTTGTAATCTTTAAAAATTTCCAATTTATCGTTTGATCGTATATTTAGAGATTAATATTCGTTGATTTATGATTTAAACTACATAAACAATGTTCGCGTTTATCTATGAAAAAGACAATCAAATAGATCTTAGATACTAATACTTGCTAATAACACGATACACGACAATGATTCACGGTGCAACCTTGCATTTTCATTAATTCTATGCCGATCGCGTTCTGAGAGCGCGAGGGAAGATTAATGAGCGAATCAAAAGGCGTCTCGTACACCGACTATAAATTACTTATTCGAACTAATGTAAGTAAGAACATAGTTGTCTTTTGCTAAGCGAGATAGATAAGTATGTTATTTAAAAAGACAAATAACGATTCGTAGAATTTATTATTCATTCATTAGAATAATAATTGCGAACGAATTGTGTCCAATTAAGAATCGTTAATTTAAGATCATTATCATTACTCGTTTACAAGTAATTTATTATTAATCATCGATCAGTTAAATACAATATGTTATATATTTTAATCGTCGATCTAAAGGGAACGTTGTTTGTAAGAAAAAAAAAGAAAAAACAAAAAAGAAATGATAAAACTAGAGTAAATATTTCGAAATAAATAAAATCATCTAATTAGAAATAGATAAGAAAAATTCGTCTCTCGCGATGGTAAGTTCAGATATTTAATATTTATCAAGTTTTTCGATTTATATCATCGAATATAAAAGCTATACGATAATAATTATCGATATCAAACGATTTCCGTGTAATAATAAGATTCAACGTGTTTCCTGATTAATCGTTTAGACGTAATCGAACAATTTATCGTTAACAATTAATGATAATTTAATTAAACAAAAGTTTAACTTATTTAACAAAAAATATCACGAGTATTTTATATTCAAATATAATCGTAACGATTATTTTCAATTCATAGTTCTATATCTAACTCGTATTCGAGTTTGAGTAAGAACTTCATAACGTGTAATAACGTTTAGTTGCTAACATTAAGATAATTCTTGACCGAACATAATCCGTTTGAAGGAAAACAGAGTGAAACTTTGTGGTGCCACAATGGCGAACACAGTTCCGGGATCCGGATATAATACGAGAAGCGTGACAAGACCGCTTCGACCTTTTATGGGTCGAACTTACCTTGATGTCCAAATGGGCGATATTTCTTTCGTGGAGGTAGGCAAGTCCTTCTACTAGTTGCCTCACAAAGTGGACGACGTCACCTTCGAGGGGCACCAAATCACCGTCGATCAGAGTCTGCAGGTCGCCACCTGGGGCACTGAAAAGTCACGCCTTTCGTCACGCCTATCTACGCTAACTCAAATCCTCCCTCTATCATTATCTCTCTATGCGAATCGTTAATAAAAAAAAAAAAAAAAAGTAAAAAAGAATAAAAAAATGGGAGAAGAAAAAAATAATAAGGAAACAAAGGAAAAAGAGAAGAGAAGAGAAGAAAAGAAATGAAAAGAAAAGAAACTCGGAACAAAACTCTCACAATTCCATGACCATAATAATCTCCTTCGGTGTCTCGTATACGTCATGCAACCGAACAACCCGCGGCGATTGTGAGCAAAGAGACAACAGGGCGATTTCGTGTCTTAATTCGGCACTGCAATCAGCGTTGAATCTGTTCCTGGATGAATACTTTGCAGCATAAACCGTACCCGTTGATCGAGATCTGCATCGATATACTCTTGCCCATTGTCCGCTGTAAACAATACAAACGTACGAATAAAATGATATTAATATAAGATATGATGACAAATTCGTTAATTTGTTCATTTAAAAAATTCATTCGGCATCGAGAATCGGTTGAGTGACATTTAAAATAATACGCTGTTACGTTTATTAGATTTTTTTTCTTGAAAATTTATAATATAATTTAATTAGGATAATGACAATTTAAAAGTAAATATATTAGTATACTTATGTATTTAATATAACTTTTTTTTGAAAGGATTATTTATAACAAGTGAATTAAGTAAATACGAAAATGTATAGAAAACGCCTGTCATTAAAAAATTGTATATATACATAACAAAAATAATATTCGTAATATATTAGAATTTCCTTTTACGGAAAGTCATATAAACAACATTTAATAAAAGTACTTTCACAGAGGACAACATGCTAGTCTAACGATGGATTTCGAAGAGGATGGTACACAGATCATATAATTCGTGCTGTTAAACAACAATATACGTTTCCTTCGATTAATTAACAATCATTTAAGGTATGTCAACTACTCTAATGCAATTTTCTTATATTTTCGATTGTTTAAACGTTCCTGTCTAATGATAGCTTTAATTTTCAAATTATCATCTAATAAAATATTAGATCGAAATTGTTTAATATTCGTAGTATACTAATAGATATAATAATGTTTAAATAAATATGTACTATTGTTTAAGCATTACTTGATTATACTCCGCCTATATATTATATCTTATTTAAACAATTGAAAACAAATTACTTAAAGCTTACTTTTATGGAGAAAAGAATTTCGATATTTTCTCAACACACATTATTTTCATATTTGTTTAATTCATTTGTTATATGTATACATATATACCTTTCAAATAAAACTCATTAGACATGTAATGTAGGTATATTAATATATTTATTTTTAAATTTGTTTTCATTCTGAACATACTTACTATAACAATAATTTTTAATCAAAATTTGAATAAGCATAATAGTATACGAAATGATACTGTAAGTGAAGTCAAGATTCGATTCACGACGCACACATACAGCGTGATGATTTCGATGTTCACGAACGAAGACGCGTCTTTCTTTATTGCAAGGTCGACGCCGCGGCGCCTGGCAAGGTTGCTGCCTTCCTAACACGTATTCTTGCATTTTTATTCGCCTTTATGCACGAGAGATTTCATTACGCAAATTCGTGGCACATCGAAGAAAGGAACACGTCAAATTTCAACACGTTTCAAATTTTCTAACATATGCTTTGATCTCGTATACATATATATATACAGTAAATCGTACAAGAAAAACATCGCAAAGAAAAAAATATTATATATACGATTTATACTTTTTTTCGATACTATAAAGATATCTCATTAAAAAATGTTGATCTCGTTAACTCACGAATTAAAGGAGCAAGTAATTTTAATTACGATCTATTTTATACGTTCAAGATAAATTTGAGATAACAAAAAGATCGTTGATTATTAACCATAATCACTTTCAATTTTCTTCAAGAAGTAAGATAAAAACAGATATATGTACGTATATGAAAAATTCTTTTGGATAATAAAAATATTAAAATGAAAATATATATATATATATATTATAAAAGGAGAAAGGAAAGAGATGTATGTAATTTCTGGGTGCCCTTTTACCGTGTGTGAATTCAAGGTTATATCCCTTTTAAAAGCAATTACGGTTAGTCGTGATATCGATGAAGACACGTGTATAATATATCGTGGCTGGAATCACAATGCGTGTGTCCTATATACGGCATCGCATTGCATTATTCTCTCTTGAACGAGATCATTAAGTTATTCTCTGCGATTATTATTAAAGATCTCATGTTCAGTATACGCACGGTATCGTAGAAAATTGGATTTCATCGATCGGCGCTCATCGAGATCACCAGTCGGGAACCAGTCAAAGAAGAAAAAAAATCTTTGAGAACGCGTACGCGTACGTAGGTATGTTGAAATGCTTAACGACATTATAGTTAATAATTTATGGAAAATTTATTTATGTCGTCTTACGTATATTATATTTCTAGTTAAGTTCTATTTTTTTCTATTTTTTTTTTATCCTCTTCCTTCCTTTCTCTTTTTAATCGATGTCTGGAAGTAAAGCACAAAGTACTTTTACTAACATAAACGATCGAATAAACATTAGATCGAGAGTTGCGTATGTTCGCGTAAATAGATTACGGAATTTATTAGCAAGTAAGTATATTCTTAAATACAGGTTGTAATAAAAGTTGCTTTATCCGAGAAAAACTAAAATATATAATAAAAAAATCAATTATTGATTTGCCATTAAAATATTTATTCCAAGATACGTATCTTTTCGGTTAAAGTGTTCGTTAATAAAGTATGAATCAGTGATGTCATTAATTAAATATCTGACTAAAAAACAAAATTTATCATTTTTCAGTTGGATAAAACATCTTTTAAGACATCCTGTATTTAAAATCGAATATAGACAATCTATACGTTATCCACGATATTACGAAATATCATAAACAAAAAAAATAAATGTACGGTTACTTTTCATAAGATAATCGTTCGAGTCGAGTTTTACTCGTTATAGATTTAATACCGATCGTGATGAAATCTGGATAGAAATATTTGTCTTTGTTAGATTTCTTTAGAAAAATCGATGTCATTTGATCGCCTTTTATGAAGCTTTTCTTTACGTGGTATTAACCGAGTACGTGCCGAATCGATTTCGTAGCAATGATTTTCTAATACATGGAAAGCCGTATTAAGAGAAGCGCGAGAAATTGCTACGTTTGTGCTGTAATTGGCATTAGTTGATCGACGGGTGGTGTGTCGCACTTGGTGTAAAGTCATTTCCATACCGGTCTCTAACTTCGATAAGTCTTGCGAATCAATTGGCTAATCAATAAAAAAAAAGAAAAAGAAAGAAAAACAAACTTCTCTTTTTGTCGTTATTTATTTATTTATATTTATTTCTATCTCGCGTAAATATTGAATTTGTCATCGAATAATAGTTGCGGTAAACGTAATCGACAGTTTTATTATAATTAATTCATAACGAATGATATACTACTAATAAGTTAACGAGAAAACAAACTATCCTTTTCCTAATTCGATGAATGAGTTTATAATCTTTATTATAACATTGGTAAGAACGGAAATTACAGTAAGTGATGTCGACCTTTTTTCTAACAATAAGTGATATATATATATATATATATATATATATATATGTATTTTACCACCTTCAATAAAGCTATCTTCGTTATTTCTAACGCATACGTATTTATAATAAATACATTTGAAAGATAAGTGACTAAGTGAATTGGACTTTATTAGGGATGTTAAAGCAAACCGAGATAGTTGCTACTGATATAAGAGTCAGGTAACGAGTTATCAATGTACGCTGCCATCACCCATTAAAAGGATCATTAACATATCCATGAATATGAAACGACAGGAGGAGGTTCATCTACTATCAGTCGTTTATGCGATTTCGGTGTCTCGTTGTATTATATTTTTGAAATTACCTAAACGTTTTCGAAATATTACGTGCATTATTTATACTAACTTATATACCCCTTGTTAATATAAATACGTTGTTGCGTACGTTTAAATAATAATCATCGAGATTTGTATAATATTTTCGATATGAAAATGATAATCATTTTGTATCTCATAAATAAATGGTAATAAGTAATGGTTTAATAATATATATATATATATATTACTCTTCTTATATTTTTACGTGATTTGATACTGGAGATATACCGAGTGATTAGCGAGAAAAATGGAATTCGATTTCCATAACGTATGTCTCAAAATCCAGTTTGGATTTTAATGAACTTTTTACGAATCGACAAATGGGGAATATTCTTGCTAATCTATATGCGAATCCTGTTTAAATTTTACCTATACAAATATCATAAATAATACATTAATATATATGTATCTTTTTCTTTCTCTTTTTTTTTTTTTTTTTTATTTTTTATTTAAATATAATACGATAAACCGAAATAATTATTTTCAAGAAGAAACACGCACAAGTAGAGACGGGTATATAGATATTATACTAAAGATTATTGGAAAATCTATTGCGAAATAAGAGCATATGTTCAAATGCACGTAATATGCTCAGATCGTTCAGATAAGATATTAGTTTTTATCGTGCGATTTTTCAGATTCGACGGCGACGTATCTCTGATGATATTTTTTTTTTTCTTCTTCTTTTTCTTTTCAATTTTCCTAATAAAGAAACTAGACTCTCATTAATGTCGGCATAAATAGTCGCGAGTCATCGTTTATTCAATCGATACTGCGTACAAACCAAGTTATAGATTCTCCGATATTCGAGAAAGAATGATCGCATGAATTTCTACCCTTTGCTTATTTCTTTTTTTCTCTCTTTTGTAAATATTATAACTTATCAATTTCTCTTTCTCTTTCTTTTTTCGGATCGCAATTTCGTATAAAAATGTATATCCAATTGAAAAATCGATTAAGAGATTAACGTAACACCTTGTATTTTCAATTGAATACGTGGGTGTAGTTCCGTTTGGATCGTAAATAATCTCGGTTCGTTTCCATAAGTCATAACAGACGGGGGACGAGCGACGATTACGAGGAAAGATCGATTAACATAAAATCATATGGCATGAGATCGCGGAACCGGACGGTGTTCTTAAGCGTGTTAATACGCATGTTCGCAATAACCATCTACACTATGGACAATTTGATCTACGCCAATAATAATAACAATAGTGTAATAATAATAATAATAATAATAATAGTAACAATTATTAGCCAATTCGCGGGGACTCTTCAGAGACCTGACGCAATAAATATGATTAATGTACGACGTATGGTGCCGCGTCACGTATCGTATATCGCGTCCGCTGCTACCGCGCGTAACGTCTCCGTGACAAATTATATATATCATAGTAAAAGTCAATTAATCATTGTCGAGAGATCACAGTTAACGATCTTATAAAAATTTTCATAATAAATAATCATTCAGTTTAATATACAAATTAATTCTATATTATATACTACGTAATGGTTATTCGCGGAATGTATTAGATCGTTCATAATCGTTTTTAATTGTTTATATGTACAAATATAATAAGTATTAGTAATTAAGATGTGTCTTACCTAGCAAAAGGTTTCGAATCAATCTCATAATGTTCGGTAATAGGCCCAGTTTTGACCACCCTAGCAAGTTGTGTCTCCTGAACGAGAACCAAGCCCTCTTTCACGTGTTTCTCGCTCCATTGAACTCTGCATCTTCCTCTGCACCTCTCCTCAACGTGAACTCTCTCCGGTAGGTCTCCTTTCCTCTTGGAGTTCATGCATTTCGAGGACGATTGGAGATTGCGATGCTGAAACCTCGGCGAAGTTTTTCTCGTAGACGACATCGTTGGTGCTTGGTGACCCGACTGATAGATCATCTTTTATCTTATCAATCTATCTAACTCAATTTACTTTGTCCCTTTTAACTTTTTTTCTTTTTATTTATTTATTTATTTATATTCTATGTTCCTCTCCTTTAAATTTATTTCTCTTTTATTTCAAACACGTGAACGAACTCTCTCCTCGTTTAATTGTCGTGTCTCATGGGAGCCACCAAGCGAATTCCTTCTTACGATTATTTCCATGCAATTTCAAACGGCATTCGTTGAACATTTCGAGCAATCGGCGATTCCTTCGAGCATTTATCGCAATCGGCGATTGATCTCTCACCAGGGAATCGGTTATTATCGTGCTTCTCGATCGAACGATTTGTCAACGGTTAAACCAATTTCGATTGTACGTATCGATTATCTTCTTCTTCTCCTCTTTTCCTTTATATATATATATATATTTTTTTTTCTCCTCTACAGTTCGGATTTATTTTCAACAAATTTAAATTGAACTAATTTATTGTAAAGTTGAAGCTCTACGATGGCGAAGGTTGAATCGCTGAAACGTAAGAATCAACGTATATATATATATCTATTACGTAACTATGAATGACTTTTGCACGACATTAAACGCATCGTAATTAGGTGTCCTTCGTTATGCTAAACGAACGAGAATCTATAAGAAACCGATCAACGAAGTTCGATCAACGAAGATGAAGTTATCGATTCACGCGATCTCGTACGGAAAAATCGCGAAGGCGTATTCGCGGAGGAACCTTATTTTTTTCTATTATATTCTAACAAGAGAATCGACAAAATCAATGTTATAGTAAACTAGGTGTATTTACTTACGAGAGAGTGAAAGTTATCCGGATGGTAAAAATAATTCGAAAAAATAACGAAATTCTTGATAGGAAGAAAAGATTTTCTTAAAACACTTTTAAAAAAAATACCCTCCCCCTCCAAAAAAACACTCATTTGTATAATTGAATATTCGTTAATAAAAGTTCGATGGAACATACACCACGGAGAATATAAAAAACAATTTTTTTTAACAAACACGCCCGATCAAGTGGAAATTGCAAATTCCAAAAAAGGACGATATAGGGTGTTTTTGCTTTCCCTCCTCCCTTCTACCCCTTTTCCAAAGACACCTTTTTATTACAAATATAAGAAGAAGAAAAATAAAGAAAAAAAGTAGCAAAATGATATGGATTTATAAGAAAGAGCGTAAAATGAACGCACCTCTCTCGTGATACGACGGAACCAACCGGAATAAGTATCCTTCCGTGTTTAGCCGAGGAATCGTTACCGAGGTTCTCACATCCTCGGTTTACCGATCGCCACCGCGTTGTCGGATTTGTGCGGGAGATCACGAGCTTCACGGTCCAGCGCCGAGCCTGAAACTGGCCAAGAGAATTGCCGCGAGGCCGCAACCGGTCCGAGGTTGAAGTGCCCAGTTTCTACACGGTACCCTCCTCCTGTACCCCTCTTTTTCTTTCCTTCTTCCTCCTCTTCTTCTTCTTCTTTCTCCTCCTCCTCCTCCCACTCCCGTTGTTCAAACTCTGCGTCTTTGTTAAACTCGATATATCGTTCGTACGTGTTACTCGTCATCATCAACGTTGTTGGTTTGTTAGTTATTGTTGTTATGTTTCGATATTTCTGGACACCGATGATCGAACTTTGCAACTCAATTGCGTAGGTGTAACGTTTCTCTTACGATCATCATTTTTTATTATTAATTTATTTACATCTGTGTATGCGTGCGTGCGGTTTTCTTTTTTATATCTTTTAGTTATCACTTTTGTGTGATACTTTTTATAATAATTATTATTTATAAGGTCATCATTTTTTTTTTCTCATCAATTTATTTACATCTGTGTATGTTTGTGTGTGTGTTTTTTTTTTCTTAAATCTAATTATTTGTATAATTATTATAATATAGTTATATAAGAGGAATATATATAATCGAATTTGTAGGATAAGTTTTTATTCGATGATTATTTTATTGATATATTATATTCCTGTATATCTCTGTGTTTTGTTGATTTGATGATTTTAAATTTTTGGCGTAGAATTTTTCAATAACTTGTATTAAAATTAATTAAACGATCGAATGAAATGAATGTGATGAAATTCGTGTCGTTTGATAAAAAAAACATAATTCTTTCTAATAGGAGATAATATTTTGAACAGGCGTTGAAATGCAATAATGCAAGAGCCAGTAACGAAAACAAGAGTCACGAAGTCGGAAAGGTCTCAAAATTTTTACATTCATTATATTATTTAATTTTACTGAAATTATTTCTAACTTAAGATATACTTTTTGCGTTTATTGAATATTTTTACGATTCTACCTTTTAAAAAGCATGAACAAATTTCAATCCTATAAAAATAACGATAGATAAATTGTACATTTTAAAACACAATAAATAACAATATTAATATTCTTTATATATATAATATAATATAAGTTGTTTTTTTTTTCTGAAGGTAAAATTATATTTTACGCAGGAGTAGAACATTTGTAATTCCACCATTGATTTGAAGAAACAAATTGGAAAATATGTCACAATGTTTTGTGTCAATTCACTGTTATAATTATCGATACATGTATTTTGTTTATTTTAAATATACTATTCGTGTTTTCAGTTAAATAGTGTATTTGTTAAGATACTCCAAAGCAAAATGTTTCAAACACTAGAGAATATTCGATTCTAAGAACCTATCTTCCAACAACCTCGATAGAAATAATCCAGTTTTATGTTCGTGTTCCATGCAGGAGAGAGTATTTACGTTGTCCAGGAAGAGGTCCCATGTAACCGGAGCGACCTTTAACTTCTCTCGTTACGATAATCGTGGTTCGTACCGTAATTGGAAATTACCGTATCACCGTGGTACATCGAGAATCTTCTCCATTTGCGAGAAACGAAAGCGAGATTATGTTGAGGACCAGACGCTTATCGTTGGAATCCTTTCCTTTTCTTACTTTTATATATATATGTATATATTATATTATGTCGACGTTAAATTATATAATTCAAGTAAAATCGTGGAAACTTTTTATCCGAAATAACTAAACGTTTTTGGGAAAGTATATAAAAAGAATGTTATTATTATTAATAACACGGTTATATAGTTATTTCAGGGTTTAATTGGTCATTTCATGTATTAATGGATTTAACAAATTAATGTTAACATATATATTTTTATAGGGTATTTAAAAAATTGTTTTGCCGAATTAGAAATTTTTCTTTAACAGATTTTTAGGGTAAAGGCATTCTAAGCTGCAACAAATTGAATTAAATAATTAAATTTTAATTATAACACCTTGTATATACATTTTTCTATCCCTTTTATTCTGCCTTTAATATCGCAACATGTCACGTTTAGAATTAATCTATATTGTACATAGAACAATTAATTTTATAAATTAAAGCAAAACTTAGTTTTTTTGTAACGAAATATTCTTTTCAATTTATATTTTTATCTTTATTCAAAATAATGAATTTTATTATACAAGATTTATTTGTAGTCATTATCATAATCTTTATAAATAAATCAACGACTCGATGATTTTAATCAAAAACCTCCGATAAAATGCGGAACAAGTATTATCGTAAAAAATTTAATACATTAACGAACGAGTAGGTGTTTTTTTTGAAAATATTCACGTTCGATTGTATTATATCGTTTTTTGAATAAATCAAGACGACACATAGATTATTGACGAATATCGTGATAGATAAGCATCATATGTTAAAACAAAATTATTTCACAAAAATACGCTTTCTTTTTTTATCTTTCGAGGATAATCGTTGCTATGGGGAAAATGCACGGTGCAACAAATATTCACTATATTCGCATAAGTATAGTGACAAGCAATTAGTGCCTACAATTAGTAACGACGTGTTTGATGTCTACCGTGCCAAGGATAATGCTCGCCTATTCGTCAATCGATTACTATTTTCAATGACGAATTCAAACGTTCCTATCGTAGCAGACCTTACCTCGAGATTGACAAGAAATTAAACGTTTCGGCCTTTACTTTATCTGACGCATCATTTTTCAGTAATGTTGATTCCATCGAAATTACTTCCGTTTCCTAAAGAATCGTATACTAACCTATATATATATGTATATATATATATATTTATTTGACGGAGAAGGTAATATTGTTTTGTCTCTCTTAAAAAATCTTTATCCTTTATTATTCGTGACTATAATAGAAGATAAGAGATGCTAGTTTGTAAGCAAAATTCGCGCCGATAAAACATGATAATATTATTCATGAAATTTTACAAGAGTCCCGAGAGGTATTAAAATCAAACGAAATGAATTTCATTCAACGTTAAATCTATTTCGTTATGTCGGATATCGTATCACGTCACTGTCATTTTTTTTTCTTTTGAAGACAGGACAGTGAACGTAAGGAACGGATATGAGAAGAACATTACCTACTTACTGTGATGTTAGAAAGTTCAGTCGAAAGTAAATAATATTTCTACGACTCCTACGTGTACCAACTTTTCTCTCTATTATACATATAAATCAATTAAATTAAATTTTCAATGAAATCATTTGAAATAATATCTACGTACGAGCAATGGTGGATCGAATTAAGCGGGGACCCCGAACGATCAAAATGTCGGAGTACTTTCAATTCAAATTAGAAAAAAAGAAGTTTCAAAAAATTTCCGCGATTAAGTTTTAAATTAATTAAATTTATTAAAAATACATTATTTGTTTGGAACCCTGAATGGAAAAGTAAATTTGAAAACAACTGGACTCAACGCGACAATTTAATCCGCCACTTTATACAAAGATAAAGTTAAAACGATGACTTATCTATCAAAATTTATTTTGATTCGTTAGATAAGTATAAAACTGACATCATACATCGTAATATATTAGTCAGCTAAAATTATATCAATCTTGTTCATAAGATATCTATGAAATAATTCGAATCCCTAGAGAGATATATCATCCGTAATTCACACGGAATCGAATATTAAAGTGAAATAAATCTATCCAATATCAATCTATCATTCTCTCGGCTTTCCTTTACAGAAACGTACGAACTAACTAACTAACTAACTAACTATCTAACGAACGAAGGACCAACGATCTCGCGTAAAACATGCCATCTATAGAAAAATTAACCGAAGATACGACCTCGTTGTATATATTTCTATCTCTGCGTACCGTTTGAAATGAATTATCTTTCCATCTCATTCTCTCCTTATCTCTCTCTCTCTCTCGTACTCATTCTTTTTTATAATCGAGGGAAAGGGAAACGTCTAAAACGAAACGTCATCGTCTTCGGTCGATTAATGATTTCTGTTTATAGATATCTACTCGCAGGTGCAATAAATTCAAGTACAGCGTCATTATTGACTTTGATGGTTCTCGTTATTTGCACCGATGTCCTCGGTACGATACGTTGACATCTTCACGGCAATAAAATGCATACGTCTCACTTTACCTTTTATTTTTTATTTCTTTTTTTTCCTCCTCCCCCACGTATCGTTTTTTTTTTGGTTGGGAATAAGATGAAAAGTCACTGACTGACTGAATCTTTGTGCGATGACGATATTATAACGAAGACGATGACCTTAAAATGAGAGAACACCAACAAATGTCCTCGTACTAACAGAATAAAAGCATTATTTTATCCTTTATATTTAAGTCTTCGGGATTTCGTCGAGATAAAGGATAAAGAATCGCGGATATGTATATATGTGTATATATATATATACTTGCGAAACTTGATCTCTACGGATGTTTCCTGGGTTACGAGTAGGGTGGACAATACCGTTAATGGAGAATTCATTTAACGTTAAACTTGCTTTTTTTACTACTACTACTACTACTACTATTACTATTATACTATCCAAGATATAAAAGTCAAAAACTTTATTTCGACGACAATTTATATTCAGACGTATATATAAGAAATACGATATCTCCTTGTTAAAACTATAAGAAACTTCCACTTTAATCGCTGTTATCCAACCAGTTACCGATTAGACACTTATTAGTGACATTATAAAAGATAAGATCACTTTCCTGTGAAAAAAATAGAAAAAAGATAGAAAATCTTTGTCACCCATCCGTATATAAATAACATACTCGGGAAGATAAAGTGGAATGAAAAGTATAGCTATTAAATAAAGCTTATTGCTATTAAAAGTACTTCGATCCTTATTTATCTTATTTTTTTGTCTTATATATTTAAATACCTGTTTACATAGAAAACGTATGAATGCATATATATTTGCTTATACATATTTACGTATATAAGAAAAATGAATAAATTAACGGGAAGATAATTCTGCCGGAATTAATCGTTAAATTGGAGTTTTATTACTTTCCATTATTTACACAAGTAGGATGCCGTTTTATGGCTTCTCGGCGGTAAGCCACAAAATATGTGC